CCTTTAGCCAGTATAGATGAATGACATAATCTTGGAGTAAGAGAAGGAAAACAAGTGTTGCTTGAAAAAATTATTCCAGGTAGCCACTTGTCTTGAATGAGGAGAAACAGAATTTGAATTTAGCATTTGCCCACTACAACAACCCAGCACTTTATTTCTAGTTAATTAATCTGACCATTTAACTTTAGGTTTCAGGGTGACTATTCTAATTCAATGTCAAGCTGCCTGTACAATATTGTTAGATGAAGTTGCCTTCAGACTGTTGCTGGTGTGGTGGGTTTCCCTTTCTCACCAAATTAAATGCATTATTTCTTCTCCCCTTTCTTCTGTCATCTTCCTATTATCTTCTACTTTTTTTGGGGGGGTATATAAATGTTTGAGGAAGACTAGCATCTCTGGTGTGATGGCTTGCCAAGCTCTTCTCAGGGCTGCTCATCCACCTTTGGTGTCCACCTGTGGCTCCAGGAAACTGTAGCATGCCCAGCAGCCATACCCTGTTAAACTGTTTTGACAGATGGCCTAAACCAGGTTGATGGTAACCTATGGGCCTCAAAGCTGTCGATGAGCCTGCAAAGACATCCTCTGCTGGAATGGGCAGATGAGAACAATTTGTTCCAATGGCCATTAAGGCAGCTGAAGCAGGTGCTGTGGAGCACTTAGAGCTTGGTCAGATATCAAAGACACCAAGGTCATCTACTGCATCCTGAGCCACTGCCACTCATCTTGACTTTTGTCTCACCACTGGACTTTGACGACTTTAGAAGAATGAAGTGAGGTTGACAACTATGTGCAGCTCTATCTCAGTTAAATCCAATTCAGGCACGAGTCAAAACATTCACCCCATGAAGTCATCAATCCTCTTTAAAAACGGACCAACAACATCTTCTATTTAAAGTCCTTTCAGAATATCCTTGGGGAATTCCAGGAGAGGAAGATGGAAGGATGGAAAGTCCAAGAAGGGAAGACTGAGTATAGAAACATCCTTGGTTTTCCTTGTGTTTGTTGCAAAAGCCTACCAAGGCGGGGAGGTTGCAACACTTTCTGAATTTGGCAATGGGCTCCCTAATTCAAATTTTTCTACAAAGTGTACATCTACGTCCAATTCGCTGGCTTAGTGGAGTTTAGTCCTTTCAGTTTCAGGTTATTTTCTCTCCTTAACCTTTCATTGCCAACCACCAGAAACTTTACCACTTCAATCAAATCTGTAATCCTCTATTGCTTGAAATTCTACTACCTTTGTCATCATCTAGGGCCTTGTCAGCAATACACTGTTCTGTTGGCTCTTTCCTCTTCCAAAGGAGAAAAGCATGTGTCTTGAGTACTTATTAAAGTCAAGTGGCATTCCTAAAAGGTGACTCTCTGTGGCAGGACCATACTCCTGAGAGACATGGATGCTTGGACTGCTGTATCTTCTTCACAGGGTTTGTATGATGTCTGAAGATGAGTAGCTACATGTGAGCCCTTTGGGACTTTCAAGCTTTCCTCTGGTTTGGCCTTTTAATGCTTTGCTGGATAGACAACGGTTGTTTCATGGGTCCTTCTGTAAGCCCAATGTAACTGAGCTGATTCAATCTGAGGCAGTTTTGTGGTTCCAGAAAGTTATGTAGCTGCCTTTTTGAGACAAGCTATAGTTTTTTTCCTGCTCTTCTGGCTTCTACAAATGCTTGGGGGTGGGGAGCAGGGAGAAAAATCAAGAGAGACGTGGGGGCCCAAGACAAGGAGGGATGGAAAATGGTGGGGTGCTCAGACACACTAGCCTTGACAGTGCTTCTGAGGAGTTAGGTCTGTGCTACTACAGGATCAAAATGCCCATTTTCTCTTCCTGAGCTCCTGCTGCCGCAGCCAATGTCCACCCCAGGAAACCAACATCCAGAGAAGAGACTGGCAAAGCCAGGACTAAAACCCCCAGGTTCCCTGATTTCTAGTCCACTACATTTTCCATTACATTGGATTAATAAGGCAGTGTAATTCAAAAGATGATAGCAGTTCCCTCTACTGCCCCCTGCCCTCATTAGGTCTCATGATTTGCTGGAGGGAACAAAGGGCAGCTGGGTCATTTGCACAGCTCAGTAAACGTGAGGATGCTATAGAGGCCTTGGGCTTCTAGCTCTCACAAAGCTGCTATTTGCTGAGGTAAAGATGCCTGCTTGGTCGCTCCAAGAATAGACTGGTTGCAATCCAAGCCACAAGCAAGCAGCCTACAGGTTGTTCCACCCTGACGCACCCTGGATGTCTCCCTTCTGGGGGACAAGGTGGAGCAGTTTAGTGTGTGCCAATGACAAAACTCATGCATTTCAAGCCATGGTGGGATGTCCTCCAGTACCTCTACATCCTTGGTTGGTGCAGCAATGGTGTGGCGACTACAGAGAAGCTTCCCATGCTGAAAATAGATTATGTGGCCAACACAGCTATACATTCTACCTCTGCTGCTTGCAGCTGTTTTTAGGCTGTGAGGTTTTGGCGGAGGTGTCTTGAGTTCTGGGCATCCTGAGCCTGCTGAAGAATAGCTGATTGAGAGCAGAACTGAAACTCACTGACCTCAAGTGGTTTGTCATAGAATAAATGCTGAAAAGGACAATGGCCCTGCCCCACCACACCCCCATGGTTCATCAGCCTTACCAACATATGACCACTCCACTCACCCTAGGACTGGTCACTTCCACTCACCTTCCACACCCCTGCCATTTCCTCAAATCCTTTTTAAGGCTCCAAGAGACGGGATGGGTCCCAAGCAGCCTTCACAATGATGCTGGAGTTCTCAACTATCATATTACTTTCTGAAAAAAGGTTGTGCTCCTCTTCCAATGACCCTACTCATCCTACTCAGTTGACCTTTGGTTTCTTTTCCAACCAAAGAGCTCACTAGCCCTAGATGCCTGTGCTACTAACAATGTATCAGGAAAGATATTTCATCTGAAAATGGTGTGGGGTATAAGCTACGGCAGTGTGAGGATACTAGCCCCACCAGGGCAATCGATCACACATGGGAATGAATGAGCAGATGTTATCTGTCCCTGGATATTTTCAGGAAGACAACTCACCATTAGCGCAACATGGTTTTCATATTCACCTACATGAAAGAAGGGATCTGGACCAAAGGGCTATGTCCCCTATCCTGTGATATGGTACCTATGGAGACATCTATGAAATTCCTCCACTTCAAAGTGCCATACTTTGACATCCTGGCTTATGAAGGTGACCCCCGGATTCTCCAAGATTATGCCAGGAGGGCACAAGCTCTGGCAGAGACTACCAAGCAAATGACTGTCTGTCAACTGAGAACCTGCCCAGCTAAACTTGGAAACACTCATCATGAGAAGGCTGGGCTCTGGACGATTAATGTTTTCAGTTACAGAAATCCACGAAGTCTATGGCGAGGCAGGGCTCTAATTAACCTTGGTTCAAAAATGCGGACCAGAATTTGCAATAGCTTCTGGGCTAAATTGAGAGGCAATAAGTATAGGAGGCAAATGCTCTTACCCCATAATAGACCAGGTCAGGGACAGAAAGTAATGGCAGGCATTGCTACCACGGTGAAGCACATTTCATTTATGACAGATTCCTTTCCACTCTAGACCCCTCAGCATCCCTCTATATTCATGCAATTCCCACCTGTGATTCAACAGACTGTTTTCAAGTTCAATATCCCCAATCTAGAAGTGACTCTTTTTGTAGCTGCCCAACTAGAGTAAAATCAAGAGTCTGGGAAGTTCATTTCTTAAAACTTATTTTAATATCCATGTCTTTCATCTGTTGGGTAAAGCCAAAACAGTCTGGCCAGGTTTAAGTTACAAATTAATACATTTGTTTAAAAAAAATTTTTTTTTTGGTAAAGTAAATGAACATTGTGGCAATGAGGGGCCATCCTTGGAGAAAGTGAAACCCATATTAACAAAGCACGTCAAAACTAGAGTCCCACTGGGTTCTTCACTAGTGACCTGATCCACACCAGAAAAGGACAGCGCTGTCTGCTTGTCTCTGGAGTGGGGTTAGCTCATCCAAGGGAAAAGGTCTTGTCCCAATACCAGCTGACCTGAGCCAGCACCATTTTTGTCCCAGATACACAATAAGGCTGAGGGTGGGGAATCTATCTTTCTGCTCCTCCCTTCAGAGTGGAGGTAGAAAAGGTAGAAGATAAAGCTCAATAGTCACAGTGGAATTACTGTAGTTTCACTTCAAAGAAAACCTAACAATTCCAGGAGCCTGAACATGCAGACTAACTGGTCCTGAAAGGAGTTAATTTTCTCTGAGGTTGAAGAGGGCAGGAAGTTAGAGGGAAGACTTAAAGATGCAGCATTTCCCCCCCAAAATGAAAACAAAGTTAAAAATGTTTTAAAGTAGAATTCAGGATCCAATCAAGTGAATCAGAATAGGAACTGGGATTCAATTACTGGAATAATTTTTTTTAAGGATCGAAGTTTCTTCCATGTCAGTGCACAAGTAGCTACCATCGTTTTTGGTTTTTTTTTTAAGCAAGGTGCTTGCTGTCAGTCTTTCAGACCCCAGGAGGGTCTCCTTCCTCGACAGCTTTTAGTGTTTATCAGGTACTTGATGAAAAACCAAGGCTAGAAGCAGAAGCAGAAGCAGAAGCAGAAGAAGCAGAAGAAGAAGAAGAAGAAGAAGAAGAAGAAGAAGAAGAAGAAGAAGAAGAAGAAGAAGAAGAAGCAGAGAGAAGAAGAAGAAGAAGAAGAAGAAGAAGAAGAGAAGGAGAAGGAGAAGGAGAAGGAGCAGAAGAAGAAGAAAAAGAAGAAGAGGAGTTGTGGGGCACTAATGATGCTGAGATCACCCCATGGTGATTCCCCATAGTGAGGGAAACAAAGTGGGCTTAGAGAACCTGTTAGTAGTGGCATCTCCCCACTCCCCCCGCCCCAATACCTACATAAAAGAAACATAGGGGTTATGAGCTGTTTGAGTGTAGTTACACTCTCTTTCCACCCTTCTGGTCTCCCTTTCCTCAGCCTTGGGGACCCTCCCCCTCCTGAATGCTGCATCTTTAAATATTTCTGGCTGAGCCCTCCTGCCACATGTTAGTAACATTCCAAGCTGGCTGCCACATGTTTGGGTTCTGGCCTCCTTCCCCCTCTTTGGGTTTAGCACTCTGGTGTTTGGAGGGCAGAGAGGGGCCATGCAGCTCCCATTTCAGTTTCCTCTCCAGTTGATCACACACCTCAGTGACAACAGGACTAAAAAGCCAGATCCAAAAGAATGTTGAGATCTGACATCTCTAATTCCCCTTGAGATCTCTCAAAAATCCATCTCATGAGTCTAAACAAGTTAGTTACAACCACAGCGCGCCGGAACGCACACACACCAGTTTGGAGGGGACAATAATGGAAAAGGAGTAGAGGAGCTTTCTGCCAAATGATCTAGCAGAGGAAAGCTTATATACTATTTAAATTTTAATGTAATTAACCAGAAACATAAAATTGTTAGTGAGCACAAAGATCATGTGAAGGAAGCTACTGATCCCTGTTACTACATTTGGCTCCCCAGCCTATTTTCTCTCTCTTTTTTTTTCCTTTTAACAGATTCAACAGATACTATATTCAGAGAATCCAAGAGGACTGCATGGGCAGACAAACCTTTATTTAAAAAAATAGCACTTCAAATAAATTAAAAGGGACAACCGTCAAGTGTTTAAATTGTGAAGAAACAGTTGAAAACCTAGAGAGACTCCTAGTTGCAGTCTTCTAACCTTATTCCTTATCTAATGGCAAAAAGCCACACACCTCTGTTCTCCCATTCAACTGATTCCCCACTGAGATGAGGGAAAACAATTGTTAACAGGAGGCCAGATGGATGAGGAGAAAGCTGCATCTGACTGGAATGGACATTTTCCACGTACCTGCTAATATGGGTTTCACTTTGCGAACAAATGTTTTCTTTCAAAAATAAAAAAGGGGACTAGGGAAGCTGTAGGTTTTTAAAAACTGAAATTATGGGGGGAGGGGAGGGGGAGAAGGGGAGAACACTAACTCTAGTGCCATCAATGGGCAATAGCAACTTTTTTTTTCCTTTGAAGTCAAACACCATCCCCAGCTGAGCCTTTGTGCTGTGAGCTTTTCAGGAGATGTTACCTAAACTTTATTAAAAGAAAAGAACAAGTTTAAATATAGACACTGGACTAGCCCAGTCTGTATTTTCAAAGTCCACATTCTTCATCAGAAGCGCTGCGTCAGGGACCCCCCCGAGTCTGCGTGTTTGCACGTTCACAGTACATGGATCCAGTTAGTTTTTGTTTTTTTCCCCCTCACTCAGAGCAGCCACACACGGCGGCCAGTGACGTGGGGACCTCAGGGCTTTTTCCTGCAGGGCCTGGCTGGCACTGCCCAAGGTTTCTTCTCAATGAGAACTGATGCTGTCATGCTCTATGGATGGGAAAAAAGCAAGAAAAAAAAGCACCTGGTACAGGTTTCATGAAATCCATTCAGATTCGCTATTCTCCGAATCCACTGCTGAATGCCATTTGTCCGCTTGTGTTGCACAGTCTTTGGCCTAGGAGTCTGTTTCAGTTTGAAGAGCTGTTATTGGACGCCCCAGAAGTCGATGCAATTGCAGCTCCAGCAGGGCTGCTTGTGGAAACTGATTTTCGGATGTGAGGAAGTAAATAGGGGTCACATGCCAGCTGCTGGACATCGATTCGATCCTCTTTTCGGTAGGCCAGGCAGCGCCGGATAAATGCCTAGAAAGGGAAAACAGCTTTGAGGAAGCCTGTTCCTACCGGAGATCCCAAGATCATCAGCCTGAGGTTTAGGAGCAACTTGTAGCCAGAACTGGAAATTCTTGAAAGAATGGGACTAGGATCTTTTTTCAAATAAAATCACTGGATGTTAAAGCTGAGATACAGAAAATGTACAGGCCATTACCTGCTTCTCTCTCCCTCCACAAAACAAAGGGGGTTGGAGGGAGAAATGCAGCCAATGCTAACCATACACCTTCCTCCCTTCCCTGCACCCCACCCCAACCCTGAGCAGCTCCCATTAAAGTAGTCACAGATGGGGGTGAATGATGCGCATTGCTGGCCTTACCCTGCTTTGGGCCCTTTACATTGGTGTCTCTATTGCAAATGGGGGTAGGTAGTCCAACTAAGGAAGAGATAACAAATGTAGTACTGTACAATTTGAGCCATCTTTGGAGTCCCCTACCAGAGCACCAATACCAGCAAACCTCCAGGAGAAGATGAAGTGGTAAAAGACACTTCAGAGAAATAACTCAAAGCCAGGAAGAGCATGTACTGATTTATGGGTGTGTTGTTTTTCCCTTTAGAATACAAGCTTTCTGAGGGCAGGGCCCATATTTACTTTCCTGTTTTATGCTGAAAGCTTAGCACAGTACCTGGCACATAGTAAATGCTTGATTGACTAAAACAGTCCTCAAACAAAAGTCCAAGGGGCAGCTAGGTGGCACAGTGGATAGAGCACCGGCCCTGGAGGACCTGAATTCAAATTTGGCCTCAGACACTTGACACTTCCTAGCTGTGTGACCCTGGGTGAGTCACTTAACCCCGACTGCCTCACCAAAAAAAAAAAGTCCAAGAAGTGGAAAGTGGGGCTTCCAGAGGACAAAATAACACAAGAAAGGGCACTAGAAGAAGCACTTAGATTAGCTTGAAAAGAAGAAAATAGGAATTTAATTATAATGTATAACCTATATCAGATTGCTTGACATCTTAGGGAGGGAGAAAAATTTTGAACTCAAAATTTAAAAAAAAAAAGGATATTGAAAATTGGAAAAAATAAAATACTGTAAAAAAAAGGTTATATAAGATCTTTGGGGAAGACAAAAAGTGAAGATTTGGATACAGGTTTTTTATGTTGAGTATCCTAATGCCACCAGTTAGGCAGGACAAGGGGAAATTCATCACATCTAGGAAGAAACCTGATGACCAGTCTTTTGGTTACTGTGTCACAAATGGAGAAAACTCACATGGGGTCACTGTTTCATGCTCACTACCTAATCAGGCTTAGGGTGGAGGGGACAAAGTAGGCAACAGTGATTTCTGCACTATACCTGTGGAGCAAATGGGACTTGCTTCTCTCAAATTTAGGTATGATGACACTATCACATATAATTGTTTCTACTGGATGTCATTAATTTACTAGATTTTCACTCTTAATTGCAGGAAAGATCTCAGTGGTTGATGGATACATTGTATCCCAAGCAAAGGAACTTAGAGAATAGATAAATTGGGGAGTAGGAGAATACCTAGATTCAATGTTGGAACTAAAAATCTCTTTGACATTAGGTTTCAAAGACTACAGTAGTTCCTAAACTTTGAGGACTGAAAAGACCCACAACATTTTTCATATTTCCTTATTCTTTGCACTCTTAAACTATTTTATTAAACCAAAACTTTTTTAGTGTGATTGATTTTTAATTTTTAGTAAAAGATCTACTCCCCCCCCAATAAACACGGAAACAAACTATTCATTTTTCTAACTGCTCATAACACATTTTCAAAAAAGAAAATTATACATGTCCATTTCATTTTTAAAAATCATATCTCTACTTGGCAAGCACATTAGGAAACTAAATACAGACAATTATCCCTGGATTTTATCACGCAACTTTCCCGATGAGCTACCTTGAATCAAGGAGATTTACTGGTGTTCTTTAATCTAGGTTGGACATTGGCCACATTTTAAGAAAAACTATAATCTTTCATTCTTAGGCAGGAGTGGGCAAGAAGAATGGGTTGTAGAAAGACTTGAAGATCTTTCATTTACTATCTGTGGCAATTTCTACCAACACAGACACCAGGCAAAAGAGGAATAGAGAAGTGCGAAAAGGTATCTCGGGAAGTCTGGTCAGATAAAGAGAGTTAAAAGTGTCTGTGGTCAGTGTTGAGTGAATCTTGTGAACAAACAATGCATGTAGGGACAGCTAGGTGGCACAGTGGATAGAACTCCGGCCTTGGAGTCAGGAGGACCTGAGTTCAAATCTGACCTCAGACACATAACACTTACGAGCTGTGTGACCCTGGGCAAGTCACTTAACCCCATTGCCCAGCTAAAACAAATAAACAAACAAAGAGAATGCATATAGTCAACTCTGGAATATGACAGTGGTATGAATAATCTGTCATTTTACATTTGGCTTTGGAGCAAAGCATAATACACAACACGGTATCTTTCCCAGCAGATTTACCTTATTATTTATGTCTGATTTAGACTAGTATTAGCATATACACTCACGGTATATATAACAGGTATGAGTGGAAGATGAATGGCAGTATAGGGGCATATGCAAGGGTTAAAAATACACTGCAGGTGATTCACATGTGGATAGTCAAGGGATCAATAGTGTCATCTATACCTGCTACATCATTCTGTAAGGGAAGCCCTTTTGTCCCATAGCACCCATAGGACACCACAAGGTCTGAGATATGCTTGAAGATAGGCCTCCTGAATTAACTGCTATTAAGACTAAGGGAAGTAGAAAGTCTTCATTCTAAACTCCTAAACCAGAGATGTCAAGCACATGGCTTGTGGGTCACATGTGGCCCATAATATTCCCAAGTGAGGCCTGAACCAGATAAAAATTTAACTGGGAACTAACAAAATAAATACAAACAAATAAAACAGAGGTAATATAATACGTGCTTTTCTAGGTTACTATGTGCCCACAGGTATTCTCATGTTTAGGGGCCCTCGTTTGTAATCTGAGTTTAACACTATTGTTTTAAACAGTCACAAGCAAAACAATCAAAGAGAGCTGGCAAGATCACTAAGCCAAGGCCTGTCTAGCTCTTCTTGCTTCTTCTATAAAGTCCTTCCTCATTACCCCAGCCCACAATGACCCTTCTGAACTCCTAAAGCACTTTGTCTGTCCTCCTCATTAGTCATTTAAGGTGTTCAATATGGTCATTTAACTTTTTTCATATCTTGGGATTATTTGATTTAGGTCTGAAAGGGGCCTTAAAGGTCATCTAGTCTAAACCCCTCATTTTGCAGATGATGAAAAACAGAAGCTCTAAGAGGTCTAAGAGGTGAAATGATTTGCCCAATGTCATATAGTAGCGGAGCCAGGATTAAGCCCAGGCTTTTTCATTATTTCATTTTCTTGCCTTTCCTATCTGACTGTGAGCCCTTCAAAGTAACACCTGAGCAGGAGAGCAGGAAATCATCTGCTGAATGAATGAACAAAACTGCCTTTCCTTTCTTTTCCCTCCCTTAGGGGCCTTCAGATTGGCTAGCCAGACACAGACTGATTTAACATTACTCATATGGGAATAATGGGGGTGAGGAAGAGGGAACAGTAGCAGGATTCATGCGTCTGCTGCCATCAACAGTAATTCATTACTGACCTAACATTTAAATAACTGTTGGAAAAATAACCAACTTGTATATCTGTTGCCATACAAGGAGCACTTCAGAGGGCAAAGTGAACATTCCACTCTTAGGAAATGTCAAGCTTACCTTTGCTTCAGGTGTCACAACTGGCTTTGGAGGGAACTGCACCTCAGTAGCTTTAAGAATAGTATTCTCTTGCAGAATGTCTTGCTGCGACTGGTTATGGCCAAAAGGCTGTTATATTTATTAAAAAAGAAAAAGAATGATTGTTAAGATGATCAGTTTAAAACATCACCATTCATTTACTGAAAAAGTTCAAGTAAAGAGAGGAGGAAAGTAACCTCTTTAAAAATGAGTTACTCAGAGGGTGGCAAAAGTCTAGAGTACAAATCCAAAGAAAACGGGGATCAGCAAACTCTCTAGTCCTGAGTGACACCCATGGACCTGAATGAAACCCATAGGGTACAGAAAAAGGATAGAAAGATGAAATACAGAACAGAAAACAGAAGTTGTAAGCAGGAAGGCAGGAGGAATTAGAGAAAGAATACTCAAAAATGAATGGTCCCAGGTGCTGCTCAACATCTTCAATAGTACCAGGTTGTTATACAATATTCTAAAAGTATAATTGCAAGCCTGAATTTTGCTTTGTACCACAGGGGGATAACAAACAGTTCTTGCCTTATAAGCCCCATACTAACAGCAGCACTGCTATGTTACATGAGAAGGGAAATGATAAGCCTCACCATTCCTGGGTATTCCTCCCATTTTACAGAAGGACAAAAAATTAAAGGGAAAGTTGGGGAGTTAAAGAGGATGATAGAATCTTAATTAAGTGCTTGATTTCATCATTATCATTCAAAAAGACATTAAGAGATTAAAGGGATGTGTTATACAAAAAGAAATGTAGAAACAGCCTGCTGCCCTCCAGCTCCTGGTCTAAAAAAGATGCCATGGTCTAATGGACCAAACAAAATGGGTGTGAGCTACAAAACTGGACTTCTAGTCCTGCTAAGTAGCTCTACGATCTTGAGCAAATCACTTCAACTTTTTGGGTCTCATTTTCATTGTGATATTCTATGACTCTGTGTGTGTGTTGTGTGTGTGTGTGTGTGTGTGTGTGTGTGTGTGTGTGTGTGTATGTGTGTGTGTGTGTATGATATAGAGCGCCAAATATAAATATATAACTGCATGTTACAACATATAAGTCTTCTAAAAAATCAATGTTATCTATAGCAGGGAAGAACAGTCAGCAAATACAGTGATTGTATTTCTGTTTACATTTCTATTCCCAAGGTTAATTACTGATTTAATTAGGGCTCTTTGCCTTGATCAAAGGCACAGAGGTATGATGAAGATGAAAGTGTTTTCTGAGCCAGGCTCCCCAGTATGGAAACTTGTGACATATTTATTTATTATGGTTTTCAATCAAGAAAATAGTCTTTACTGGTTTGGCATGTGTAAACTTTGGGGATATAAAAAGCTCTCACTCTAACCACAATGTTAAATTTATTATATACTTGAAAAAAAACCCCAATCTTTCATAAACAATCCTTTCTGTTCTTCTTTGCAAATGGAAATGATGGTGTTTATTGACGTTTGACAAGTTCATAATAACAAAAAAGAAAAATTTTAAAATAAAATAAATTTACAGAAATACAGATAAAAGTTCTAGCTCCTTCAGGAAAGATTCTTAGGACCAGAGGGTAGAAGGAGCTGCCAGTATTTAGTCACCTGAAGCACAAGCAATTAAAAACAGTCCACAGTCTCCTCTCCCAACTTGGGAACAGCCAATTTTTCAGGATGTGGTTTGGAGAAAGAAGGGAGGGAAACAACCACATGTGCATATTCTCTTCCTCAATTTTGAGGTATATTATTTGTGATTGATTTATATAGGTTGTATTACCTCCAAGTATTTATTTTGGAGAATTACATAAAATCTTTTTTTTTTTAAATGAAGGTATCAACTAAACTTAAAAACAGTACATCACATGTGAAACCTTTGAGGAAACTGTACAGACTAATCAGAAAGGATTCTAAATCCTAGGATACCAAATTTGTAAATGTAGAATTCAACTGAAAAAACATTTCTTAAGGGCCTACTCCTCAATGAAAGGATAAGGCATAGGACAAAGCAACAGGAATACAAACAGAAACAAAACAGTTCTTGCCCTCCAGAAGCTTACACTTTCCTGGAGACATACAAAATATAAATGAATACAAAATAACCTGAAGAGGGCAAGCACGCCAACAACTGGGGATGATCAAGGAAGGCTTCGAGGTTGAAGTGGAACCAGAGACAAGCCTTGAAGGCAGATGATGATTTTGAATGGAGGAGATGAGGAAGGAAGGACAGAGGACAGCTTGTGTGAATGCTCAGAGGCAGTCAAGCATTTATTAAGTACCAAATATGTACTCAGTGATAAAGATCGGAAGGCCTCGTTCAGAGAAATAGCTAGCAGCTCAGCTGACCTTGAACGCTAAGTGCATGAGGACGGAGGATGGTAGGGTATATCTTGTGAAGTAGGTTGGAGTCATCTTGTCAAAGGACTTAAAGGCCAACTAATCAATCAACAAGTACTTATTAAACACCTACTTAATGTGGGCCTGACAATCATTCCAGACTCTGAGGGTATGAGTAAAAAGAATTGGAAATCCCTTCTCCAAAGGAGCTTACAAGTCTACAAGGAAGAGAACTCCATAAACATATACAACATAAATATTAAGTGAATAAATAAAAACACGTACAAAGACTGGAGAGGTAGGCTGGAGTCATATTGAAGTAATAGGGAGCCACAGAGCTGGGGGTAGGATCGAATTGGTCAGAACCGAGCTTTAGGAAAATCACTTTCGTAGCTGTGTGTAGGATGAGATTGGAGTAAAAAGAGGCAGGGAGTCCAATTAGGAAGACATTATAATACTCCAGGCAAGAAGTACGAGTGTCTTAACTAGAATGGTAACTCTATGAGAGCAGAGAAGGATTTGAATACAAGAGATGCTGAGGTAGAAATGGCAAGATGTAGCAAGTGACTGCACATATGGATGAGAAAGAATGAGGACTCGAGGATGACAGTAAGGTAATGAACTTTGGTTTCTGGAAGGATGGTGTAGTGCTTTAGTTCAGAAGAGGAATGGGTTTAGGGGAAAAACAAAGCATTTTTTTATAAACATATTGAGTGTAAGGTGTCTTAAGGAACAATCAGTTTGAAATGTTCAGTAAAAAGGCGGTGATGTGGGACTGTAGTTCAAGAAAAAGTCTACAGGAGTGTGTGTATCTATCTATCTATTATATAGATAGATTGCAGATACAGATACAGATGTAGATATAAGATATATATATTTGGGAGTCATGTGCAAGGAGATAACTGGAGCCATGGTAGCTTATACAGTCAAAGCTAATGAAAAAGAGAACATTGAGAGAAAAGTGGCCTGAGAAACAAGACTTGGTGTACACTTATCATCCAGAGATACTGATAATGATCCAGCAAAGGAGAATGAGAAGTAGATAGAGAAACGCCACCCCAAAGTGAGCCTGAGCTCCTCCAGAATTTGTGCAGACAAAAAAAAGATCACTTTTTTTTTTTTGCCAGTCAGTTACATTTACTAGGCACCTTAAGCTAGAGGATCATTGCCTATTCCTTGATTACTCAGAAAGCAATTCTAAAACAGTTTAGTTTTCTATGGATTCTACCTTGTAAGAACTAATGATCTTCAAGTCATCCTCCTACAGAAAATTCAGGCAAGAGACAGTTCCATGGCCTGAATGGTACTGGTAACCAAAGTCCATGCTGTGCACCTGTCCCTCAGATGCAGATGAATGTTCATATTCCTTACCTTCCTTCCATAAAGACACTGGTAGAAGATCACCCCCACTGACCAGACATCAACTTTATTGGAGATCTTTGGTGGTTCCTTCCCAACCACAAAGCACTCTGGTGGCAAATACCTGATAAAAGAAAAGTAAGAGAGATTCTTAAAAAATAATTGTGCCAAACTAAGACGTTCAATCAAGAAGATACCTTTTATTTTTTAAGAAAAGGTGAGAAGTCAGGTTGCTATAATATATATTAACAACCAATCAATCAATCAATATTTATTTAAGCAGCTACTAAATGTCAGCCACTGAGGATACAAGTACAAAAAATGAAAATTGCTACTCATTTAATGAGTTTGCAATCTAAAGGTGGATAATCAGAATAAATATAAAGTTAATAAATACAAACATATACACAGTAGTTAAATAAAAGGTGGTTTGACAGGGAAAATACTAGCACTTGGGGTTGGGGTGAGGAAACAATTCCTGAATCTTAAAGGGAGAAGGAAGCACACTGCAGGTAAAGGGAAAGATCATGGCAAAGACACAGAAAATCATATGATGACAAAGAGAAGGCCAGTTTGGCTGGATAAGAGTATGGGAGGGGAAGTAATACAGATGAAAAGAAAGCTTGGGGCCACATTGTATAGTGTAGGGTTTTAAAAACTAAACAGAGGAGCTGACATTTTGTCCTGGAGGTCAGAGTAAGCCGCTGGGGTTGGCTGAGTAGGGAAGTTATATGGTCAGATCAATACTTAAGGAAAATTACCTTCACAATACTGTGGAGAATGGACTGGAGTGGAAGAGAGATTTGAAGTAGGAAGACAAATCAGGAAGCTGTTAACAATAATCTAGCTGAGAGGTGATGAGGGTCTGAATTATGGTGGGAACTGTATGAGTACAGAGGTCAATTAAGGGATGAAGTCGAAAGCCAAACTGAAAATAGTTGAGGAGTAAGAGAATAGGAAATAGAAGCAATGAGTGTAGATAACTTTTTCAAGGAATAAAGGTGAGAAAGGGAGATCAATATAATATTTATAGGCTGAGGGAAACAGTGGGGCTAGAGAAGATTTTTAAGGATGAGGCAGACTGGTCATGTTTGAAGGTGGTAGAGATAGAGCCAATAGATAAGGAAAAACTGAAGATTCAAGAAAGAAGGGAGATGGGGCAGCCAAGTGGCTCAGTGGATAGAGCACCGACCCTGGAGTCAGGAGAACCTGAGTTCAAATCTGACCTCAGACACTTAACACTCAATAGCTGTGTGATTCAGGGCAAGTCACTTAACTCTAACTGCCTTACCCCGAAAAAACAAAATCAAAACAAAACAAAATACACAAACAAAAAAAATGAAGAAGAAAAAGAAGAAGGAGGAGGAGGAGGTGGAGGAGGAGGATGGTTGAGGATACAACTTGCTAGAGAAGTCAGGAGGAGTTGTTTATATTTAGAGGAGGCAGCCTGGGCCGGGACAAGGGCTAACTCTGTCAGAGACTGGGCAAAAGGAGTATAAAGTGGGAGATGATGTCAAGGGATTCTGAGAGGAAGAAAACAGAAGAAGACTTCATGTCAAATGGTCTCTTTTTTCCCCCAGTAACTTTCTCTAGAAAGTTTCTCTTTGATTCTTTTTTTTCAATAACTTTTCCAACTGATGGGCAATCCTCAGTTTCCAGGTTTAGCTACAACAAAGAGATGCCATAAATATTTTTGTACGTGTCCTTTTCTTCTTTCTTCGATCTCTTTGGGATACAGGCCTAACAGTAATATTGTTAGGTCAAAGAGTACGAAAGGTTAGTGACTCTGGGGAGTATAGCTCTAAATCACTTTCCAAAATGGCTGGACTAATTCACACTACATTAGTGTGTCTATTTTGCTCTTAGCCCTTCCAATAGTTGTCATTTTCCATTTTGTATTATCCTTGCCAATCTGATGAGACAGAACCTCAGAGTTGTCTTAATTACCAGTTCCCTTATTTTTAGTGACTTAAGAGAATTTTTTGCATGTTTTCTGAGAGCTTACATATCTTCATTTGAGAGCTGTCTATTCATATCCTCCAGCCATTCATCTACAGGAAAATCTCTCATTTTTATGTATTTGCATTGAATCCCTATATATCTTGCTATCATACCTTTATCAGAGAATCCTGCAACTCTACTCTCCCCCTACAATGAAGTTTGTTTTGCTCCTGAATCTTCCCCACATCAATCTTCCCCCTTAAACCTCTTTCTGACCCCATTTCCCTGTTGAGTTAATGTATACCTACACTTAAACTATGAGTATGTATGTGTCTGTTCAAATAAGAGGTTCCCCTAATGACTAATCACCCACCCCTTTCTCTATACTTGTATACTATTCTTCTCATGCATACAAATAAGAAATACTAAATTCTTTCCTTTTTCCCCCACTTTTCTTCCCTAGTGTAGTGTTGTTGTTGTCATTTCCTTTTCTTTCCTCTCTTAAGTTCATTGAGACAGAATACTCCCAGGACCTTTGTCTTATAAAACTGCTTCTATTAGGTCTTAAATGTATAAGGGTTATGAAAGGACATCTGTTTTTTCTTCTACTGTGAGAATGTAAGCATTTCATCACCATACAGCCCTTCCAAATATAAAGGCTTTTCTAAGTTTTTCTTAATTCCTATGCTTGTATTTCACAATTTTTACTAATTTCTAGTCGTTTCATCAAGAATGCTTCAAAATTCTCTTTTCAAATTTTTCCCTGTAGGAACATATTCAGATTTGTAGGAAAAGTTATTATTGGCTGTAAACTTTTATCTTTTGTTTTTCTGGAATATCAAACTCCAAGATTTCCCCTCTTCTAGAATAGCAGCTACTAAGTCTTGCAAGATTCTGACCACGGAATTCCTTGGTTCCTGAACTCTTTCTTCCTTGCTGTTTGCAGTTTTGGGGGGTAATGGAGGAAGAGGAGAGGGCAGACCTATAAGCTCTGGATTTTAGCTATGACACTCTTGGGAATTCTCATTATGGGGTTTCCTTCAGGAGAAAAGGAATGTATTCTATTTTCACTTTGCCCTCTGGTTTTAATAGATCTGGACACTTTTCATTTATGATTTCTTGAAATATGGCATCTAGGATTTCTAGGGTCATGGTCTACAGGTCATCCAATGTTCATTAAATTCTTTCTCCTCAGTCAATCAACTAGCATTTATTAGTTACCTACTATGTGCTAGGAATTGTGCTAAATGCTAGGATTAGAAAGAAAGGCAAAAAATAGTCCCTCCTCTCAAGGGGCATAGAGTCTAATGGAAGAGACTGCATGCAAACAACTATGTAGAAATAATCTATATACAGAACAAACTGGAGACAGTCAGCAGAGAGAAAGCATTAGAATTAAGAGAAGCTGGGGAAGGCTTCCTGTAGAAGGTGGGATTTTAGCTGAGACTTGAAGGAAGCCAGGAAGGCAGAAATGAGAAAGGAGCATTGAAGGTATAGGAGATAGCCAGTAAAAATGCTCAAAGTTTGGAGATGGAGTATCTTGTACAGAGAGCAGCAAGGAGACAAATGTTCCCAGATTGCAGAGTATGCAGAGAAGAGCAAAAATACCGAAAAGACAGAACGGGATTGGTTTATGAAAGGCATTAAAAAACAGATAAAGACTTTAACATTTGATTCTGGAGGTGATAAAGAGCCATCGGGTTTAGTGAATAGAGAGATCACAGTCAGGCCTGCACCTGACTAATTTGACAGCTGAGTAGAGAATGGATGAGACTGGAGGAAGACTCTTGAAAGACCCAACCAGCAGCCTATTACAAAAGTCCAGTTATAGGTGAGGAGGGCCTTCATCAAAGTGGTTGCAATGTCAGAAGAGAATAGACGGGTAATACAAAAGAAACATACAAAGGTATGTTTCTACCTACAAAGGTGGAAAAAACAAGACTCAACAACTGATTGGATTGTGTGTGTGTGTGTGTGTGTGTGTGTGTGTTTGTGTTTAAGAGAGTGAGTAGAGGATAACACCTAGGTGACAAGTCTATGTGGCTTGGGAGGATGGTAGTACCCTTTCCTGAACCTGTTTTTTCAATCAGCTGTCTTTGGGGGGGGGGTCAGGGAGGCAATGTGGGTTAAGTAACTTGCCCGGGGTCACAAAGCATCTAAGGCTGGATTTGAACTCAGGTCCTTCTGAATCCAGGGCCAGTGTTCTATCCACTGTGCAATCAGTTACTTTTAGTAGCAAATACTTTATTTTAAAATTTTTTTCAAGCTTTCAATTTCGTTGTAACATTGCTTGTTCACCGTCACCAATTTTACTTTATTCTAATTTTTAGAGAGTATGTTGCTAGCATGTTGTTCTACCTTCTGTTCTAAACTATTTATTTTCCTTCCAATTTCTTCCATCAGAGCTTTCTATTTCACTTATAATTTTGCTTTTTATCTCCTACTTCATTCTCTTCCAGGTACTCATGTAATCCTTATGACTCAGCTATTTTTTTTCTCTGAGGTTCTGCTTATACCTACTGTGGAACTATTTCTTGGGAGTCTATGGATCCAAAACAGTTCTTCAGAGTTTTCAGTGTTTTTTGCTTTCTCTTGTATCCAATTTCAAATATTGATTCAGGACTTTAAAGTAAAGCTAGGCTTAGCCCCCTCCACACTTTTGAGTGGAGTGGTTGGGACTTTGTTTGGTCCTGGATCCCAGCTGGTGATTTCTATCTTCATGACTGGTACTACGAACTTTCGTCATCCCCGAGATGCTCCAGCCCTATATCTACTGTAAGGGCACTAAGGGTTTCCCTATGACCCTGGAGTGCCCTTGACCATTCCCTCCAATCCTTCTGTTCCAGGCAGAGAAGACTCTAGGTTTGTCCTGGACTGTCTCTGATTCACATGGGCAAGCTTCTGCCTTCTTTATCTGAGCCTATGTTGGCTTTTCTAGGAGAACTTTCCCAGTTCCCACAGGTTTCTGGGTGTCTTTTTCTGCAATGCTGGGCTGGAAAGGGTGCTTACTGAATCTTTTCTTTTTGGATTTCTTGATGGTTATTAAGTTTGGTGCTCTCTGTAGATCTTTTCTAGAGCGCTCGTGAGAGCTAGGCTCTTCTGCCATCTAAACTGCAAGTAGTCACCTCATTTATTCATTTAGACAACCATCATTTATTATGTGCCTACTAATTGTAAGACACT